TCGATTTTTCTGTTGCCATCTAAATTGTACTTGACAACCTATTTAATCGATCTCTGTAATTAACTCTATTCTCTGGTCTCATCCTTTTAGGGTACGTCCTGTAGTTAATCTGGCATGCAACTCTATAATTCACGTGGATTTTCTTAAGTGGTTCATCTGGTGTACCTCCCCGTTTTGCCTGGTTTAATCTGTGTATGTACAGTACAGCTGGCTCTAGCTGGTTAGATGTCGGCCCGGTTCATTAGTACCATTGTGTAGACTGTACCGTATTGCCTGGTATAATCTGTATGTGTACTGTACTGCTCGCTCTAGCTGGTTAAATGTCGGCCCTGTTCTTGAAATGAACCGGACTTAATTGCAAAACTTAGTGTTACTTTAAATAATATCAATTTAACATTCTAACAATTTAACATTTAAATTTGTCTCTTTAACAAACAAAAAATTAGTCAAAGGGACTGACAGTGTAATTTTAAGTAAACCTTAATGCAGAGTTGGAAAGGTCGGATTCACAACGGTACCAATTAAAGCCTTTATCTGATGAAAACTGTAGAAGATATGCATTGTTATTTTTTTCTCGAAAAGTGTTATTTCTGTGTATTTCTTTATTATTTCTTATAAGCAAGTTACTTTCGCAGAGAAACCACAAATGAAAGTAAACAGTTTAAAGAAACTAAATCATGAATATCTATTTCATACTTGATCAGAAAAAGCTTCTAAGGGTACCGTTTTAATTCGGGCATTGCCATCTGTACACGGAGGGTCACTTGAAATTAGGCTTACAATCCCTTTAAAAATACAATTTTGTCTTATTTGTCCGTGGTCTGTTGGTTAGTTTTCGCACGGTCTGTTGCACGTTGCTAAATTGCTTGAATACCATGCAAGATTTATGTGTTTAACCAGTTGAACTCTGTTATTTGATTTAGTTGGAAGAGCTTAGACCATTTTTAACAAGTCAGTGATCAAGGGGGTCCCGACAAATTCAATTGTATGAATAGTCGGAGTATATACATCCATGGAATGTCGTAAAGTAATCAAATATATTTATAATTCTGCCGAAATATCCCATTTAAGTGATTCAACGGAAACACACTCAACGTAATTTAGAGTCCAGACGCCCATTCAAATAGTTGCAGCCCCAATTTACATCAGCATCATTAAAACCAAATCAAGTATTTAAAAACATGCTAAAATGGGTTTCAAAAGTTGCGTCTTGAACCTCTGAACCGTAAATTTGTTCATTCTTCTAGATTTAAAAACTTTTTTATGTTAGGCTAAAAATCTAGTTTTTTTTACACTACAAAAACCGGGTTTTTTTGCTTATAATTACTTAATTTTTTAGAGTTTTTATTATAAATATAACGTTTCTGATGTCAGTGTTTCAAGACGTATATTTTTATACCCATCTGGATCTATTTTTCTGGTTTATATCAGTGATTTGATTTACACAAAAAAAAATCAAATTGAGCTAGAAAATGTTAAGAAAAAAATTTTAATTTTTAAAAAAAAATTGTCAAAGAAAGCTTTTGAACTGGTGCAAGGTGTATTTGAGAATTTTTGTAAAAAAAAGGCTCAAGTGTAGTCTTTATCGTACTTTTATTCAACTTTTGTGAACACTAATTCCGGCCAATAGGACAACTTAAAGGGACAACGTTGTATATTTACAAGCGACCTTCTCAGAGCAGATTTACAGGGACAACCTTTAACCCTTTATTTGATAATGATTGTTTTTAAGCTTGAAAAATGTTTAATTGTTTAATCCTCATTCATCCTCATCCTCATCCTCATCCTTATCTTTATTCTCATTTATCCTCATCCTCATCCTCCTTCCCAAACTAACTAGAGTGAGAAGCATTCGGTATTTTTTATTTAAAATAAAACGTCTTTTAGTCTATTATTCAACAATCTTTAAACTTACAGATTTGTTTATTTTTACTTTTTCATTCAAAACGTATATGCCAACAAAAAAGTACTTAAGAAAAAAGGTATAAAAATTATGTATAATGGGTCAAATTGTGATAGAAAGTCACAGCTTTCTGAAATATTGACAGAACCGTTAAATCCACGTGCCTCATCCTCATCCTTATCCTCACCTCATCCTCACCTCATCTCCATCCTCATCCTCATACTCATCCTCATCCTCATCCTCATACTCATACTCATTTTTATCCTCATCATCATCATGTTGTTTTCAAGCTTGAAAAATGTTTAATTGTGACTATTTTTATAGAGAAATTAATCAATAAAAATAAGTAATTCTCAAACAGAAGTTTATAGATATCTCTTGCTTTTTTTGATCAGAAATCACTTTTGCTTTGATTAATTGATTTATCAGATATTTATTTTGAGATGAAAACAATTACCAATCACGGAATGAGATAAAAACACTTTAATGTTAAGCCATAAGCTCTCCCCAAAAATAAAATCTTGGAATATTTCTCAAAAAAATCATTTGTCACTGTTTTGGTCTTTTAAATTTGTTCTCTTTAGTATCTAGGGGGGGGGGGGCTCGCCACCTATCTTTGAAGGAGAAAGGGGAAGATGCTCCCCTCCCCTTTACTTGCACCTCTGCAAACAACCACTTAGGTCAATTTTTTTAAACCATTAAAAGTTGTTTTTAGATGGTTTATAAACTGAAAGTCATCATTGATAAAGTAACTATAATTTGATTTTAAACTAAAATTAACAAAGTTGAAATAGACTTATATTTGAATAATAATATTTAAAACTGCAGGTCTGCTGTTTGAATTTAATCAAAGGTGCAACTAGCATGGATTCGTAGGGGGGTGCTTACTTGGGTAAAAAGTTGAAATTAAAAAAATATTAAAAAAAATTACGCCTTTAATTCATGGTCCAGCGGTTGCACTAAGGATTTCAGAATTCAGAGAGTCCAAAACAGGGAATCTCATTTTTTTTTGCTGCACTGATGATCAAATTCTATTCTAATTATGACTGATGATCAAATTCTATTCTAATTATGACTGATGATCAAATTCTATTCTAATTATGACTGAATATCGATTAAAAAATAGGTTTTCCGTAGAAGTTCTAAATTTCAAACTAGTAAAATATTTTAATTATTGTGATTTTTAAAAAGGGGCTAAAGGGGGGTATCACACAAAAGGTGAATGGTTCAGGTTATCACACCGGGGGGTCCAAGAAGGTGGGGGATTACACCAAGAAGGTGGGGGATCACACCAAGAAGGTGGGGGATCACACCAAGAAGGTGGGGGATCACACCAAGAAGGTGTGGGATCACACCAAGAAGGTGGGGGATTACATGCCAAGGTCAAATTTTTCTAAGTTTCAAAAGGTAGGGAAACTAGGTTACTCCAGGGAATACAGATCAAACTTTCTAAGGAAGAAAGGAAGATAGAAAAAATACAGCTAATACTATTCGTTTTTTATTTTTGAAAATTAGTATTTTTTCTTTAAGAAAATATTTGCAAATTTTTTTGGTTCTTTTTCTTTTATCAGTTTTCTTTTATTTACTCCTTTCTCACCCTACAGTTTACAGTTTTCATGCAATGAATAGGTTTATTTATTAAGTGACCCCCCTTCCCCCCATACCCAACCCTAAACCAA